CTTGATAAAATATATTATTTTTGTTTGTATTAACTATTGTACAGCTAGGTATTTATTTACTCATAAATATTTCTTACGAATAATAAATAATAATGTAGTATATTAAAGATATAAAACATTATAATTCAATTATAAGAGACTGACCTAAAATTACTGATTATAGACTTGCAGGTTAATGCTTGTTTTTTTTTTTATATAATTTATGGTAAAAAAAAAAAAAAAATGTATACATAATAATGGTGAATGATGCTACCTAATATCACATTTAGCTAGCCTTTTGGAGTGGTTGTATTTCTTCGAGATTCAGCAACAATAATACTTAAAAATTGTTTTTTCAAGTATAATTATTTGACATCGCGCGGCAGATCTAAAGATTTTTTATCCCTAAACTGATACTAAATGTCTGTATCGCAATAATTTTGATTTTAATTGAAACAATGTATATGTAAGTGCCTAATACGTTCCGTGATTTTACTGTACCTACGTTCTTTAAAGAAACGAAACGTGAGAACTATTCTTCTACGTTATAATAATATGTGTAAGTCAATTTTGTCAGCCCCTTTTCCCCCCTAATTCTATCAGACAATGTTTCGTTTGGCCTCGTTTCTGTTTCAACGAGTTCACATTGTTCTCGTTCGAAAAATAATAATTAGTCCGTACTGTTTGTTTATTCAGTATAACAATAATAATTATCATGCAAGTTCTGAGGTTGAACTGAGTTTGGATGTCAGCTACAATACGATGTTTGTTTTGGTACAATGTCGTTTATTGATTTCTAGAGTCAGTAGGAAAAAAAAAATTACTATAAAATAAAAATTAACCGTGAAACTGGTTGATATGTGCTTCCACGTGCAGCTGTTATGCGTATAATATTATGTATGTGCACTGTGTACGACGTATTATAGTTTTCATTTCCAAGGTCGATAGTATAACATTATCGTGAAAAAAAAAATGATAAGAAGGGCACACGAGCGTCTATTCGGTACGCGTGTGGATTGTCGCGTTTGTTCCCGTAATCGCGTGTGGCTATTTTTTTAATTTTTTTTTTTGACGGGATCACCACATATTATATTGTATATTAAATAATATTATTAAGACAGGCGGCTCTTTATTTACATATTATTTCACTCCCATAAAGTCATCGACCTATGCATGTACAAAATCGTATGATATTATGTCTTTCGTATAATTTTGTCGCGTATGAAAATTCTTTCGTTATGTGACGTCCATTACGGAATTCTTTTGACCGACGTTTTTTGTATTCGAATATCCAGTCGAAAACTTAATCAACATTAGAAGCATAATACATAACACAGTTTATAACATACTATTATCATTAATGTCTGTGGTAATAATATGTTGATTTAAATTTACCACTATTCATTAATAATAGTATAACAACGATAAATTCAAACAATCGTGGGCTATTTATAAAACCATCACGACATAATATTTATTTACGTAATAGATTATACGATGTGAACGTAATATAGAGAACTCGATAACTTGATTACATTTTTTATTGTATTTGTATTAGTATTGCAATTGTGATAAACAAAATAAAACGCGATATAGATATACGTATAATATAGTGTCGTTCGGATAGCGAAATATTAAATTACTTCTATAAAATTCGCAATATCATATAAATTATATACGACAATGGCGAGTATAATGATTTGTATCTACATAGTACTATGGTATATTGTATATTATATAGTACTTACATAGTAAAATTTCATGAATATATCACTAATTATTAATAAATTACTTAATTCGGTATAGTTACGGGTTTAATTCTTATTGTGGTTTATATTATTGGTTTTTAATGTTTAGACACATTACATTTTTAACATTCAATTATGAAACGAATAAGATTTTAATGTACTTTTCAAACTGGTGAATTTTCTGAAATTTACCTTTTATTAGCAATACTCACACAGCTAAATGTTTATACAATATTATTGTAACAATCTGATTACAGCGTAATATTATGTAGTATGTAATTTTATCTTTAAAAATGAATTCCTAATCAACTACATAAAAAATTCGCGTCATAAAAGTCGGTACCTCCTACTCGTATATTAAACATATTTATGAAATTATAAAAATTATTGTGTACAATTCAAAGATATATAATAATATATTATGCACCTATCCGTTATGCGTGCTCACTAAATTGCTATCTTCATTCAAAAGAATTGCAGCAGTGTTATTAGACTAAACTTTGTCCGACTCTTTAAAAGTTTCATGTCGACTGGTTACAGAAATAACCAAAAGTCATAAACTCATAACTTACAAACTAGGTCAAAGTCCTTAACGTTAAACCCGTTTTATTCGAAACTTTTGTAGGAAATGACCATGTGTCGCTTATTATTAAGAAATACAAAAATCAAAGATTTAGCCAATATATTCGAATACAAATGTTATATTATATTATATATTAAGTATATAATATAAACACGAACTACAAAAATTCGGATGATTAAAGTTTTTTTAAGGAAAAAGTTGCTACATACTACTTGAAATATAGGTGTTTAAACAAAATTTTCCAATCAATTTTATTTTTTTCTATACACCTTACACCTATATAATATTGTTGTATTTATCTTTTATATTTACACTATCTACTAATATTAAATACGGGACCCGTATATTATGCGATAAAAACATTAAATATTTTTATTTTTTTTATAATTAACTTTAACCTTTTCTTCTTTGGCATAATATGTATATTATAATTATAAATTAATATGGCGTTTTTAGTTTTCATAATCCTTTTTAAGAAATTAAAATTCCACAAAATATAGTTATTACGCATTGCTATCAATTGTATTATATTGTATTGTGTTGTATTTAGTATGTACTACTATTCAAAACCAAGACAGATAATATATTATTTAAGTATACAAGAATATAAATTTGCTTCGAAAGTAAAATTATTATATTAAACGATGCTAACTCGACGTTTCAGCATCTACACGTGTTGAACAACATATACATATAAGCTGTTTTTTTTCCAAACATAAGCCTATATATATATTTTAACTAGATGTACGCGTGTGTCCATTTGACATGAGAAATAAATATTCAATAATAATGTCGTGTCAAGTAATCGACGAATTCCTTAAATGAACATGAATACAATTTTAAGAACATTAGAGTCTAATTGTTCCGACTGTTGAAACATTAAACTATAATAAATATGTGTGTATACATTTATAATGAATAAACATAAGATTGATGTATTTATATTTTTAAGTGTGCAACACATAATAAGCCTTCGTGGTAAAGGAGATTTTTTTATTAGTTTTATAAAATGTCAAAATGATTATAGTGCTATTAGAGAAAAATGATTGAAAGCTGAAATTGTAAATTACGCTGTTGCTGGAATACAGTCTTTGTATTTACAAAATAAAATAATATTAAATACAAAGTTTTAAAAGTTGTATAGCTTATCATGTTAATTTATTTATTGACATTAAGTTATTTCGATTAGTATACATTTCAAAATCAATCCAAACCCCGTATTTAAATACTTAAGTATTGAAAAATATTTATAATTAACAAAACTATACATTTAGGTCTTCACTATTTACTCACGGATATACCTTTATTTAATTGGTAATATTATTTATTAGTATCCCGAGAGCGCAACTATATATTACTAAGATAATATGTTTATATACATACATATTTATTTTTCATTAGTTGTTGAAATCGATCTTTAATATTAATTGGCATTATTATTAGAAGTTTATGAAATATACTATGGTGTATATATATATATTATTTTGAAATATTTGTTTTATTATACGTGTATTATGTGTAGTAATGACGTGCTTGCCTATAAATTAATGATTTCTTTCATAATAAAATTATAAATGTTTTTTTTAAATCGGTAAAAAATTATTATAACGAAGAATAATTATACTATAATAGTTATGGACGGCATAAATAAATTTACTCCGGTTTTGCAAACATCAACACCCACATATTTGACTATACAATAACAATAAATTACCTTAGCAATATTATTGCATTGAATTAGTCTTAAACTTATTTTATTTAGCTGATTATAGGTATAGGTAGGTACTCGTCTTTTGTAACTTTCCACACTTTATCAGCGTTCACAAAAATTAATACCAGTGTGTGAACCGTGAGTAGTTCATTGATATTTATTTATTTATTTATTTTTTTTTATTGCATATAGGTAACAGTACCACTTGTTAAAAAGAATAAATTATAAACGAAATATAAATTACTTATTGGTCGAGCACGAGAGTGTTTCACATATGTTTATACACATTAAATCTATTAAAATACACAGTTAGTGGTTCGTAGATCACGATATATAGCCTACATAGGTAACGCGGCAGTCGCATTCAAAATAAAACCCCATGCCCATTGAAGGAGGAGGTGCACCTTTCGAAAATGAAAAACGTCAACGTTGCAGTTGTAATGCGCAATTTATGGTGAAATGGGCAAACCGTATGCGCGCCGGAGCAAAAATAACTCGTCTGCGTTATTGCATGTATAGGTGTATATTTTTTTATAAATTTTTCCACGGCGTAGGTACAACAAAGAATAATATGCCGGGGAAAAAAAATAACCTCGCAATATTAGAAATTTAATAGTGGCGACGTTTGTATGCGATTTAAAGCACCTATACAGCTGAACCGTGCGCACTAGCGCCCATAAAATAGGTAACGCGAATGGAATTCGAAAATGAAAGTTTGGCGTTAACGGTTCGAAAATATTTTATTCGACTTAAACATTATTCGCTTCGTGTTTTTGTCGTTTATAATAGCCCCTCTCCCCCCCCCCCCCCCAAAAAAAAAAATAAACCCCCCCCCCCCCCCCCCCCCCCCAAAAAAAAAAAAAAAATTCCCTGCCGACTTTCCGTGTACAATATAATAATAATAATAATAATAATAATAATTTTGTCGCTCGCATTATTATGAATTATGTTCTTGATGAATTTTTTTCGTTTCCGACAGAAGGCGGCTTTCCTGTGGCCGTCACCGGAGCAACAGGCACAGCAGCAGCAGCAGCAACAGCAGCAGCAGCAGCAACAGCAGCAACAACAGCAACAACAGCAGCAACAACAGCAGCTCCAACAACAGCAACAGCAGCAGCAAAATAACCTGGCCGTGGCCGGTGGTCAGACTTTGGGCCCCGGCGCCGGTAGCCTGAACAACAACAACAACAACAGTAGCAGCAACAACAATAACAACAACAACAACAACAACAATAACAACAGCAGCAGCCACTTGAACGGCAACAAGTGTGGCGTCGGCGGTGTCGGGTCGGCCGTCCACCCGCAACACCTACAGCAGCAAGGTGGCGCGGCCACCGGGGCGGGCGGCACCGGACTGGTGCACTGGATGTCCATGATGGCCGAGCACATGAACAACGCCGCGGCCACACATCACCATCACCATCACCCGCACCACCACCATCACCCAGCCGATCCGGCCAACGCCATGCACTACATGTGGAACACGCCGGCCGTAGACGTGGTGAGTACCTACCTACGCCATCATATTTTGCTTTGACGACAATATCAACACTCGTAAACGAGTTTGTTTTTTTTTTTTCTCTACTACTTTTTTACCCGACTTAGGTCGGTGTTCCCTGATAAATAATAATCAATAGACATTTTACTTAATGGCTTAACCGCTGTCTCGAATTACGATGGTATCGTCGCAACGAGTTATTTGAATTTAATTATTACGGGTTTTTTTTTTTTTTTTTTTTAACTTTAATCACGTCATTGGGCGGTCTAAAAAATAATTATTTACAACATGCGCGCAAGTGCTGAACAAAGGGCGTCGGGTTGATTGGCGAAGAGGCCTTTCGTTAGTCGAAGGCACTTTGGCGAATTTTTCCAGTTCATTTGAAAATTATCTCGTTCGGCTAAAAGCAGATCGTTAACGAAAACAGATGTCTGCGGGTACGGTGTGAATGTTTAACGATCGGTTTATTTAATGGTTTAAAAACGTTTAAGCTCTGTACAGTCGCCACGGAGTTCTGGTAGTAATTAGAAGAAAAAAAAAATTTTTATGACTTTTGATATTTTTCTCAGCGTTAAACCTTAAAAATTTCAGTTACGTACAGTTGTACCTAGGTACGTTATTCGATGTCTATTGACTTGAAACCCAACGTTGTAAGCGATGAACTCTCCGCTCGATCTACGATACCCGAATAACCGTAATATAATACAACGATGTGTGCATAAATTATACATGTCGTTATTACCGATGCGTCTATTATGCAAATTAAACCCGAGTCGACTTCAATGTTATTAGTATTAAGAGTATTTAAGTCGACTATACGATTCGTTTCGTAACAGCCCTATACTCCTTTGTGGATCGGCGTAGGGACTTTAGGGTAACTTCGCCACGCATCAGAACTCCAACGTGTAGATTAGCTCACCCAATCGCAATTTTCGGTTATATAATACTATATACAGTCTATAATAATAACAACATAATATTAATTTATGGTTTTCGAATATTTGTTGAAAAACATTTAAAACCTCGTTCCGCGGAGACTGGAAAAAAACACATCCTTCACACGTTCCCGGCGGACCTTTATAACGTTTAAGATTCCCGTAGGCCCGTACGAAAATAAAATTCCAAGTCTGTCTGATGTATATATATATATCTTATTTATACCATGGTTACGTGCTCGTGATAGCCAACAATCGTGAGAACCGTATTACCGCGGCTATCTTTCCAAAATTAAGAAACTACTGACGCCAATATAATAACACGAATGAAAAACTATATATTGTGATATTAAAATATACACACCGTAATAGTGGCGACTCATTGTATTAAAATATGGTGAGTCGGTAACTATATTGCGTTGTTTATACGATTCGTATACACATTATCGTATCGTATTCGTATCGCGTTATTATTATTTTTTTTCGTCAAAGATTATTAAACCGTGAACAAAAATATAATCATACATAACTAATTTTTGACTGAAATTAATCGAATCGGTATTTTTTCTTTTGAACCAGTTATACACCTACATTATATTGTGATTGTCGACTGATTGAAAACATCTGTAGTAAAACAAATTATTAACATTGTAATAATAATTATAAGCCGCTGTAGGAATGAAATTATCGTTTAATAATTTTTTAGTAAATCAAAATGAATTTTAATACTAATCATAAGAATCGATTTTAAATACGAGTGCATCCAACTGCACAATGTTATCCACCGTGTTATATTTCGTTACATATACCTACAGTTTGTGTGTGCATTTGTTCATTGAAGTGATGTCAGAAAGTTTTAATAAATTCGTTTGGAATTCTATACTTTACTCGTAGATTATAATATCAACAGCCTAAACTTTGTTATCGAAGTTAAACGATGGTAAGAATTTATAGTATTTGTGATTATATTTCAATGGCAGTAAAGACCCTAACACATTTTTACATAAAAGCCATTTTGTATGGTTTATTAAAATAAATTTACCATTAAAATTAAAGCTCACTGAAGCTTAACTATAGAACTGTATAAGTTATGTATAAGTTTTTGATAAATATAAATTTCAATTTTATATTCTTAATATATTTTAATTTAAAGTGTTGACTATCTAAAGAATTGATTCCATTATATGCGGTAATAATTAATATGTTTTATAATAATTTCTATACGTTTAGCCCACTTTGATTAAAAATTAAATCAAAATTTATAATCACAATTGTTTACACAATTAATTTTTTAAGTTTATTATATTTAAATTCTATAGTAATGTTTCTTCTTTAATAGTATCTTAGAACTTTTGGTATTACAATTTTTTTTTTTTTATTAGTAGCAGAGGCTTATTGGGTAAAAAAAAAAAATAAAAGGAAAATAGAAAACAAATTTATTTCAGTAACGTCAAAACTTGAAAATTTTAAATAATTATTAAAAAAAACTGCCTAGAAAAAAATTATAAAAACTATCAATAAATCGTTAATAGTCCATGAAACCCGCGTCAAATACGAGATTCTTACGTTCAAATTCAAAATATTATTATTATCTTGTGTACGTGAGTTAGCAAACCTAGATGAATTATTACTTGATAAAAAATATCTATTAAGTTGTAAATTGTTTTTATTTTTAGTTTAATTATGTGTAGGTGAATTTTTTATATTGGTAGTTACAGTTAGAATAAAGTTTACATATGAGAAAAAATAGTGATTAAAGTATCAACCATTATATATATATATATTATACATAAAAAAAAAACATGTATAATAATTGCAATAATAAAACGATACCAGAGTTAAGTAATTTTTTATATACATTTAATGTTAACACTAAAATGATGAGAGGTTCAAATATTTGTTTGTTTGAATAGTCTGCCAAGAATTAAGATGCTGTTTAGAATGATTGGCTTTGAAGATAATAATCTGAGTTTCTGTTTTTATGATTAATAAAATAAATATGTAATTAAATAGAAAATATTGATACTGGTAAAACATTGGTTTTCGAAAAAATGATTTATTATGCAGATAATTATTGTAGTATAAATTACATTAATTAAAAACTGTTTAAACTTTAAACCATTTAGATTTTCAATTGATACTCTAAACCAGTTATTTCTTTTTGATAATTAATTAAATAAGTGAATAATTTTAAAAAGTCAATGCATATAATATCAAAATATATATTTTTTCATTCAGAATAATATAATATATTAGGTAGTTAATTAAGAGTTATTACATGCAATGTTTTAGTTTTTTTTTTATTAAACAACCTCTAGTATCGACCTATTTTCAGATTATTATCGTGCTCAAAATGACGTAGTTACTATGAATTAATTTAAATAAATATTTATTTATTTCAACCTCCAATTAATTGATATACAAATGTCTTTTTTTAGATATTCATTCGTATATAGATTCTTATTAGATATCAAGTTTTTTCTTCAACTTTATATTCACGTCATGGCTAATTTCGTGAGAAATCTCAATTTTTTTCAATTAGTATTGGAAGTACATGTATTACATGTATTTAAAAACATTGGACAAACAAGTTGTACTATTTGCGAATAAAATAAAATTACGTAAAAGGCGCACAAAATCATGACCAATTTTTCGATATTTCAGATATGATTTTAAATCGTTTGGATTAAAAGTTATTAAATAGTATTATGAACGGAGTGCATAATATTTTTTTCTCATTTTCTGTTTTTTTTTTTTTTTTTGATTTCTTTCCCCGAATCCGTTATTTGTGATCGAAATGCAAAAAAAAAAATAATCTCCGTACCCTTTCGTTTAACCGACTTCCGTATAACGGACGAATAAAAAATTTGAAAATAAAAAAACGTCGTGCATAATAATAATGGTAATATATATAAGAAGAAAACTATCGTCATTGCTCGTTGGCATGTGTATATGCGTATAAATTTGTCATATAATAATATAATCCGTGGTATCGTCGGTCGCTCGCACAGCACTTGACGTGTCATTATAATATGTAAGTGCATATCACACACACGGTGTAAGTAGTTGCTAGTATGTAATGTCGTACACACACAGTAGAAGCCGTTAAGACAAAAACGCAAAAAAAAAAATATAAATAAAAAACGGTACCCGGCGGGCACCGTATGCAATGGTTGGTGCGCGGGGCACATCTTAATAATTCGAGTCCGTGAGATTTTAGTGTAACGGACTTGCGATGAATAAAAACAAAAAATAAATACATATAAATAAATAGAAGTGAAAAAAAAATCTATCCGGCTCATCCCCGCTCGTCGTCGTACGCACGTAATAATTACAAACCCCCGTGGAGACTCGCGGCCGTGAAAGAGAAACGCGTATTTAATATGCAAGAGATGTGACTGTGTACACCGTATATATAGGTACACGTAAATGATGTGCACCCGATGCCGGTGGGGGTAGGGGGTAAGGTGGCTTGCTTTTTTTTTAAGCTTTTTTTTTTATTTCCCATTCCGTCTTATCCGACCCCGCTCGCGTTTTTCACCCCGCGCACATCACAATACATACATACACACACACACATACATAATAATAATATTATACAGTACGCGCAATATGCACATTGCAACGCGCATAGAACAATAATCATCGTCGTCGTAATACGCCGCGTATAGTATAGTACCGCCGCACCCTCTTCTACGGTTTCTATTTATTTTATTATTATTATTATTATTATTATTATTATTATTTAACATCGTCAGGATATTTGTATCTGGTCGTAAAAAATGAGATTTTTTCGGTCCACTCGCGGTGTACATACCCGCACATATACTTACTACAGTCACGTACGCGCACCGCTGGTATATACCTAGGTAGAGTATAATGCGTGTGCGCGCGTATTACCGGGTGTAAAAAAAAAATAATAATAATAAAATATATTATAATGCACACACACACACACACACACACACCGGGCATTTGAATAATGTGTAAAAAACAATCGCGCAACCGGTTGGCCGCGCCCGGAGGCTTATGCAAATGCCGAGCCGCCGCACACAAGTGCCGAGCGAT